GTACGTGGCTGGCGCCTTAGCCGGTTGAGCTACAGACACCGAGCCAAAAGGGTGAATTTTTTATTGTGTAAAATACATGTAACATAAAATTTACCATTTTAATCACTTTTAAGCTTATTCAGTAGCAAAAGTACATTCAACATCATCCATCTCTAGAACTTTTTCAAAAGGAATTTTATGATATATAAATTATATATTAATCAAGCTGTTATATAAAAATATATCAAAAGAAAAAGTCACAAAGGAACTTTTAAGAATGATGACTGTATTCTGCATATTGATTTGGGTGACAGTTATAAGGTGTACCCAATTTGTCCAAAATTATCAAAGTGTGAACACTTAAAATATGTGCAGTTCATCATATGTGAAACAGATAAAACAATACAAAAGTATCAAAACGTGCAATACACTGAAAAACATAACCTAATTTTTAAATATTTCTATAATGAGTAATTATAATCAATAATTCTAAAATATGCATCCAGTTTCTTTAATAAAGTTGGAGAACTAATAGCATAGAGATTGTTCTTTGGATATTGAAATTTACTTTTCAAAATTTTATGTTAATATTCTTTCTAATATTTACAAATATAAAAATAAATTTAAAAAACAGAAAAATGTAGTCCAATTTATAAATAATAACATGAGCAAGCCATATGTTTAGGTATATTTATAGTTTAAAACATGAACCAAACTGAGTCCAACTGGTTCACCAATTGAACATTGCGAAATTCCTAAATTACGGAAATTGATGCATATAGTCACCAATCATAAATTTTATAATTTAAACTTGATATTAATATTAAATCTTATCTAGCAAACAACCAGCCTCCTACCCTTCAGATTCTTCAGTCTTTTCTCCACCATTACGAGTAGTACAATTTTCACTTTCTGAAGAACAATTCCTTGTGGAAGCTATACTATGTCTTCCTTAAATACAGAAACAAACACATACAAAAAAAAGGGGGGAGTTAGCGTTTCTAGATGAGAATGGCTTTTTTACTAATTGAATGGTAATATTATAAATGCGTGGTTTCCAAGGCTAATTAAAGGTGGTACTTGCCACATGGATTTTCCCTTAAAATTTCTAACAGTATAAGAAAGAAACCATACAAAAAAATGGAGCACGAACTGCTAATGATACAAGGAAGATTTCAAAAAATACTGATGCATTGTGTACAAATAAGGGTCAAATGTTCAAAAGACAATAGCATAGTTTTCTCTTTCTGAAGGAATTTTTTATATCAATACTTAGCTGAGATTAAAATAACTCATTACACCCTGAGGATTTCCAAAACCAGTTATTATTTCCAATTGAATTGCTGAAAACATCTCTTTCACCCTGCTTCTGTGACATCTGATTCTCTTGTTGACTACAATAAAGAGTGGCTGTAGGCTGGGCACAATGCTTGCCTATAGACCCAGCTATGTAGGAAGACTACTTGAGCCTAGGAGTTTCAGACCAGCCTGAGCACCACAAAATAAACAAAAGAGCAGCTATAAAAAAAAAAAAAAAGAGTGGGGCAGCGCCTGTGGCTCAGTTAGCAGGGCACCAGACCCATATACTGAGGGTGGTGGGTTCAAACCTGGCCCCAGCCAAACTGCAATAATAGCTGGACGTTGTGGCGGGTGCCTGTAGTACCAGCTACTTGGGAGGCTGAGGCAAGAGAATCACCTAAGCCCAGAGCTGGAGGTTGCTGTGAGCTGTGATGACACAGCACTCTACCAAGGGTGACAAAAGTGAGACTCTGTCTCCTAAAAAAAAAAAAAGAGAGAGAGCGGCAAGCAAGATGTTCTCGGGGGGAAAGAATAAAGTAAAAGTGCATAGTGTTGTTGGGCACCATGGCTCATGCCTGTAATCCTTACACTCTGTGAGGCCAAGGCAGGAGGATCACTTGAGGTCAGGAGTTTAAGACCAACCTAAGCAAGAGCGAGACTCCATCTCTACAAAAAATAGAGAAATTAGCTGGGTATGGTGGTGGGTACCTTTAGTTCCAGCTACTCTGGAGGCTGAGGCAGGAAGAGTGCTTAAGCTCAGGAGTTTGAGGTTGCAGTGAGTTATGATAATGATAATGCCACTGCACTGTTGCCAGTACGACAAAGTCACTGACTTAAAAAAAAAAAAAAAAAGCATAGTGCAAATCCTTTTAAAATAAAGTACAATAATACTCATAGTAAATAATAAATAATATATGAAATAACTAGGCCAATAGATTAAAGTAGGAAATTTTGATTATGGCAAAGATAAATATAATTTTTAAAATTCAGAAAGATATAAATATTAATAGATTTTTCTATTAATGTTTATACTAACCTTTAAGTAAAGAAAGAGAAGTTGATTGGAATACATAATATTCTGCAGAATCATTGTAAGAACAAGTGCTGCATTTTAAAGTCTTACCTGTTTTAGAAACTGCATCCTGACCAACTGGAGTCTCCTGAAATTCTCCCTGTGTGTCAAGAAGTGATGATTTGATATACGTGGCTAAAGATTCAACAGGACTCTCTCCAGCAGCCATTAGGGCATTATACTGGTTGTCAACGGGTGAGTTTCCACTGCTCTTCAGTTCATCAAACCTTTTTGCACACTGTCATGATATAAAATGAAAGAAATGGAGGTTTGGGGCTCAGCGCCTGTAGCTCAGTGGCTAGGGCACCAGCCTCATACACCAGAGCTGGTGGGTTCAAATCCAGCCCAGGCCTGCCAAACAATGACAAATACAACCAAAAAATAACTGGGTGCTGCCTATAGTCCCAGCTACTTGGGAAGCTAAGGCAAGAGAATTGCTTAAGCTCAAGTTTGAGGTTGCTGTCAGCTGTGATGCCACAGCACTCTACCCAGGGTGACAGCTTGAGACTGTCTTGACAGAAAAAAAAAAGAGGTTTGGGAATTTTTTTTTTT